AAAAAAAAAAAAAAAAATCTGCTACCTTTTACAAATTACCTTTATTGTATTCAATTTTTCTTTCACCTCCTTTCTCACAGAATGGAGATTCATGTCATGTATTAACTTTTTATTTCTAGCATAGAATATTTACATGCACAAATTATTTATTTATCTATCTATCCATAAACACAATATAAATCTGAAAAAAAGCCAGAACCTTCCACAACATTTAAGAGAACCATTAGCCATGATAGCTATACGATCTCCAAGTGCATCAGCCTCATCCATGGAGTGTGTAGTAAGTAATATTATCCTTCCCTTTCGTATTCTTTTTATCAACTGCCATGTCAATCGCATTGAGTACGGATCCATTCCACTTGTGGGCTCATCAAGGACAATAACCTGCATTATTAAAAAAAAAAAACTTTAGCAGGAGTCGGAAAAAGAAGTGGTCACATTGTACAAAAGCTCATACATACTTTGCTGTTTCCTATGAGTGCAATTCCAAGGGATAACTTTCTCCTCATACCTCCAGAAAGAGCCCCTACAAGAGAATTGAGCTTGTCTGCCAAACCCACCTAACATTATGCACAAGAAAATTTTTAGCTATAACTAGAAACTAGTACAATGCCCGTGAACTACACGGGTGTTTCGTAAAAAACTAATTGTCCAACAAAAAGTGAAAAAAAAAAAATGAAATTCTTATTGTGAGGTAAAAAAACTATAAAGTATAAACAATTAATAAGGAAGTAGTTTTTTAAATATTATTTCGAATTCTAGTAAATAGTTTTTAAATATTTGTTTTATTTAATATATATTTGTTTTTTGTCAAAATTAAATAGAATAATCAATTTACGGCAGTTAATAATGCCCGTGAACACCATGGGCGCTTGAAAGTTAAATATTTGTATCAAAATAAAGAAGTGAAGAAATATATATCCTTATAATATAATGATAATAAATTAAGTATACAACTAATAACTAAAAATTAACAAAATTAATTATTTAAAATAATACCCTTATTTTATACTCAATTTGTCAAAATGATGATTTTCTTAACCAC